ATTTTTTTTCGCTGTGAGCCACCACAAGATCTTGTGTATATTTCCCTGTGCTACACAGTGTGATCTTGTTTATCTAGTCTGCATATTCCTGTCAGTATCTACAAATTTTGAAATCTCGGTCTGTCCCTTCCCACCCCCGCCCCCTTGGGAACAAGTTTGTATTCTATGTCTATGAGTCTGTTTCTGTTTTGTATTTCTTTTTTTTTAGATTCGAGCAAAAATTAATGTAACAAAAGATTCTTCCATCAGTAAATGCAACAAAAAGGAGTATTTGGGTTTTAACATAAGATTGTTGTTTCTCTTACTTTTTCTCCAGGAAAAATGTACAGAACGAAATAAGCAAATTCGTATTCGATATAAACCTTCTCTTTTCCAGCATGTGGGTATACAGTCATCATTCCCTGGAAGAGAACAATATTTCAAAGTAAGTAATTTGAAATGTAAGTTGAGTAATATACAATGTTTCATGAACTTATAAGATATTTAGAAAAGGAGTGTTGAGAACATTAGAGACTATAAAAATTGTTTAAACACAATTCATCTTATGACCCAACTGTTTTGAAGAGCAGTTATCTTTACAAGACCCAAGTTACCTATCATGCTTAGAAAAATCCAGCCTACATAGACTTCTTTGCCTTACTGTTCCCAGCTGTGCAATTCAAATAATGAGACTAAAAAAAGTTTTTAAGATTATAATAAAACTCACTATTTTAGTCTAATATTTAAAAGTATAAAAGAATATTTCCCCCAATACCTCTATTATTAAATGTAAATGTATCAGCATTCATATTTCAGACTACTGTCTACCAGATGAACAAAAATTCAGCGTTATTTGTTTTTTTTTAACATTTCTAAGTTTTCCATGATTCTTGAAAACAATATTTTTTATAATTGTCCTAGCTCCCCTTGGTGGAGTAAAAGAAGCAAAGACTACACACAGAGTCAAAACATCTATAGTTTATCGTGGTAATCTGTGTACATGATACTGGAAAAGCCCTACCATTCCTCTGAGCTTTTGTTTTCCTTCACCTATAAAATGAGGAGCATAAATTAAATGATCCTTAAGATTTCTTCCACCTTTGAAATAATATTGGCGTCTCTTTCTTGGTTTCTTCATACAACAAAGCAAATTACTGCTTTAATCCTCTGTCAAAGAGAAATGCACATATACATCCTTCTCCTGTTTTTGACGGCCCTCTTGCCACCTTTCCCTATTTCTATATTTATTGCTCTGCACTCTTGAGAACTCTACCTCATAGTGTGAACTCAGTAAATATTAGCTATTAGCTCTCAGAAAAGGTGGAAATCAAGATTAAACATGCTTGCCTTTAAATAAGACAAAGAAGTGTCTGGAATAATGAAAACTTAAGTGTTATGAGTCTTTATGCAAAAACTAATACCATCAAAATACATAAAACATAACCACAGATGATGCAGAAAGAAATTAGCATATACCATTTTGTTTGTTGATGCAGCTATAATGGGATTATTTTTTACATTTTTTTTTTTGCTGGATAAGCTATTTTAACCTTATCTTTGTGAATTCATGACAGATTAAGGAGAATGTACATCTAATCACTTTTATTTTGATGTTATAATCTTAGCTTTTTTCTTTTTTATTCTTCATACAACATAAAATAGAAAGTAATAGCAATCTAATATGTCAAGTGTGATTATATTTAAAGTATTTTTAAAATTTCTAACAGGATATCTACTACTAGGAATTTCATAATTCTAATACCTTCTTTAAATGGTCAGAAGCATTCTTTGGAAAAAATGACATCACAAGGATTAGAATATTTCTCAACTTTCTTCATAGTGGATAAGAGATTTTATCATACTTAAAAAAGTTAAACCTTTAATAATAAAATGGTAAGTGTAAAAATTGATTTAAATATATAGAAAAGTATCAGATATTTATATACCTTATAGTATTTTATATTCTTATGTTTTGTGTATTGTTTTTAGTTTTACGCATGTAACTTTCTGAGACATTTGCCAATATTCTGTTTTAGAAGAACCAGTTAGCGTTTCCTTTCATATACTGTAGATGTACAATGAATTTGGAGATAACAGATCTGAATTTGAAGCCTCATTCTTACCAATAGATGCAGCAATATGGATGAATCTCTAAAACAGTAAGCTAAATGAAAAAAAAGAAAACCAGGTGCAAAAGACTACTATTTGTATAAAATTCTAAAATAGGCAGATCCTGATATCTCATTATGATATTAATTTGCATTTCTTTAACATCCAATGATGTTAAGCGTCTTTTCATGTGCTTAACATATTTTTATCTATTTATATATATATAATGAAATATATTTTTATGATATTTTTATGAAATATATATACTTTTATGATATGTTTATTCAGATATTTGCCCACTTAAAAATTGAGTTGTTTGCCATTTTACTTTTGAATTGTAATAATTCAATAGTTTGACCACAAGTCTCAACTATGTCTTGCCCTTTCATTTTCTTAACAGTGTCTTTTGATAAAGTTCAATGAAAAATTTAATTTTAATAGGGTCCACTCCACTTAAACCTCCACTCTTTCAATATAATTTTATCATTGGCTAGCTCAGTATTCAGTGATTTTTATAATTATAAGACTATAAATGCTATTTACATTAAACCTACATAGTATAATCTTTCTACTCTTTCCTTATTATACAACGTTTTTTCTTTGGAGTTTTAAGTTTTCTTTATTTCAATGCACTTATCACTAATTCAACCTCAGGTTCTCTGTGAATTCTCTAAATCTTTTCTTGATACATTCAAACATCTAAAAAATCATAAATGAATGTTGAATATTATCAGATGCTTCTCTGCATTTCTGTCACTTTCTAATCTTTACAGTTCTCTCTCCTGCAGCCTTCTGACCAGCTCTGGCAGATTTTAGGCACCTCTGGGGTTCCTTTTGTCTCTGGAGTTGATTCGTCTGTTTTCTGGATCCCAACCTCCACCATTCTTGGTTTATTTGTTTGCTTTTGTGAGGCATGCCTGTGAGTAATTTCTTGAGAAGGACTGTGTGAGAGGTAAAGTTTTGGAGAATTAAAACATCTTAAAAATGACTGCAGTCTATTAAACTTAGTTATTAAATTAGCTGGGGAAACAGTTCTGAATTGGAAATGATTTCTTCCATTTTTGAAGGTATTCAAACCATTCTAATTCCTGTTTCTTTGTATAAGACCAGTTTAGCCATTTCTAAACCTTTGAAAATGTTCTTGTATTTGGGCTCTACAATTTCATGAGGAAGGTATGGGTTTATTTTTATCTGTGGTGCTTCTTATTTGGTGGGGCTTTTTAATCTGAAAACTCATTCTTCAATTCTGGAAAATATTCTCTCAAAGAATATTAGTTATACTTAAACATCAGTATAGTAGTGTAAGCATAATTTGTTATTTGAACTGCTTCCTATTCTTATTGTTTGTTGTTAATTCTGCATTGTTGCCATCCTCCTTTCCATTCTCCTCTACTTCTTGGGGAAAAAACCTCACGGAATGTCTTTATTCAAAAAGTTACACATTAGGTTCTGTGGGCGAGAGATACTTGCAGTAGACATGGTGGACAGCTGAGAAGGCAGCAGTTGCCTGCTGTGGACAGGAATTGAGATCACACTCACTTCCAGGCAGCTTCCAGGGTTCTTCTCAAAATGGCCTGTTGTTCTGCTGAGACATCTAAAATCATCTGCAGTGGCTTCCAGATCTCCCGAGAGTGGCTTCCTGACCTCTGCTCCCCAGTCTTTCCAAGAGTTGAGTTCACCTCTAGTTTATTCTATCTGCAGTAAATCTATTTCATTATTCAAAATACCTCAAGTGGCTTCCGTTTCCTTGACTGATCTCAGTTTGATTCTGTTGCTTCTTGTGTTTCAGGCTCCCCAAAATGAAAATTTGTTTCTTACTTGTCTTTGAGATTGTCTGCTATTTAGTCTGTGATTAGTGAATCTATTTTCTGCAGCCTTTCAGCAGAAGAAGGAAGGGAGAGGGCAAGGGATGGGGCATTCTACGTTCTGTTGCTCATAGTGTGTGGTAGCTTTTCTTCCAAGTAGGGAAGACTCATTCTTTCTTGGGTTATTACTTCTTCTCCACATCAAATACCTACAGCCACTATTTCTTCTGGGGAATAGTCACTTCTGATGTCTGTTGCTTAGCACAATCATGGATATTCCAACTGTGGCTCTGCAGTCATCCCCAAAGCCCTTGCCTGTTCCCACCACCTCTGAGCTTGGGTCCTCTTAGAGCCACTCCCATCTTCTTAGCTGGCTCCATTTTGGAATTTGAATTTCTTCCCGTCTAATCCAGTCTCATTCACTTTCCACCTAATACTGCCCTCTGAATGATTTATGTGGATGGAAGTGTATTCGTACAAAATTATCTTTTCACACTTTAACAGTAAAAGAAGCACATAATATATAATCAAAAGTGTGCTTTATTTATATACATACCATTTCAACATGGAAACGTGGGTGCATTCCCATGAAGATAACGCTGCACTCTGAGTTTCAGTTAGACTTGCATCATAATGAAGAATTTTTTTTTATGTTTTAGTGAGACTAAGATCAGCCAAAGTTTGAAGCAAAGTTGAGGTATGGTAAAGCGTATGTGGAGTTTAAGAGATATCTAAAACATACTCGGGTATCAATTTTCCCAGGTACCTTCATTCATTACCCTATCAGTCAAGTGTCTTTCTCTTTTCATTGCTCCTTTCAGAACA